GTGGGGCATCGGAGTGTCTTCCCCCCCCCACACATGACCCATTGCCCACCCCCGAAAAAAAACAAAGGGCGGGCCGCGATTCGCAGGGCCCGCCGCGAGATCGAAAGTGAGGCTGCAGGAGAGGGCGCGGAAGAGGTGACGACTCATGTTTTTGCGCAGGGAACCGGAAGCCCGCTGGGAAGCTCGTTCGCTTCAGCGGCTGCCTGAAGCTGCCTGACGCCGCGTTCCCTCGCTTCGAAGGCTCGCACCCGACTGGAAGCCGAGTCGTCGCGGCGGCGGTTGGGACCACAGCTCGTACAGGTAATGAGGGTCGATATCCAGCCGGGAAGTGGGCTTGAGGGCTTTTTATAACCGTCGACCTGGGCTGGATCATAACTGAGACCAGTCCTCAACTAAAGGTGGCACTGTCTGGTTCTCTTTCCTTCGACTCCTGTAGGAAATTAAAGAGCAGAAAGGAATGGCAATATAGTGAATGAAGTTGATATAGGTAATATTTAGTTACATTTCCTTTTATTTCATGATGCAAATTTATTTAGCTTTTTGTTTCCTACAGCTTTCCATGCTTTGCATAATATTGCTTACCCTAGATAAAAAGAATGTGATAGGTTAGGTGTATATTACCCCATAATGCTTTACAACATTTTGCAGAGTTAGTACCCAGGGATAGTTGAGGTGATATAAAGTCTGCCTGCATTACTGCTATAGTGGCACTGGTGACTCTGTTGTTGTTGTTGTTGTTCAGTCGTTAAGTCGTGTCTGACTCTTCGTGAACTCTAGAGGATGCTATAAAGGATAAATTGGGATCCAAGTAGTATATATAAATGATTTTAACGAAATAGATAGAGCTAGATTGTCTAGGGGCTAATTCTATTCTTATGTAACTAATTACATACCATTTTATCAATTATTTCCAGACATTGTATTTAAAAAGCATTGCTTTTTAAGGCCATTTTTTAAAAGTAAAATGCTTCAAAAGTACTTGAAGGGGTACTCTAACAGAAGTGTTTGAAGAAATCTCTAAGAGTACAGACACAAGACAATATCCTTTTATTATGAATCAGGTTCCTGGTTTCTTAATATAACAAGGTTACTTTGAGATTCGTACACTTATCTAATGATGCATTTTCATGATTCCTATAAAGAAATAATTTCATTATAGGAAATTTAAGATCGCAAAGGTGATCTTTTTCTGGTATTAGTGATAATTCATCATCTCTGAACACTATTTCATTCTTTTCAAGATTACATACTGCAATCAAAAGGACAAACATGAAGTAGATTTTTTTTTTAAATTGTATTCTGAATGAAAGAAATACGGTATGAGAAAACTGATGAAAAATGTCTACCAGTATTGTTTTCCTATTTTGGTACCTAGCTGGCATTCTACAGACATAAAATATTAATATTTTTCTTAGGCTCTTATGTACTGCCTTTGTTCTCTGAAATTGCACATTTAGGTATAAGACAACCTATGAACTTAAACTGTTTAAAAAAATGTTTGGTTAAGGTGTTGGACTAGGATCATGAAGATCACTTGGTGACTTCAGGCCAGTTCCTCTCTCTCCAAAGCCTATGTGACAGTTCTTAGAAGCAGCAGCACTATAAATGTTTTAATGAGCTCCTGAATAACAGGCAGGATATAAATGTAATTATTAAATAAAATATAGTTCTCTTCTTGTTTCCAAAAAAATAGGAGAAACTTGCATGTTCTTTAATCACTCTTGCATTTTTATAGCTTTTAAAATTGTTTATATTTTCATAACTACAGTTGATTAGCATATTATTTTGTTTTCTGTCACTTTAAATTCATGCATTTCTGGCTACCATCTGGCCCCATTGTCCATTATTATGAGTGTTCAGAGAAAGTTCAGCTTAGCATTAGAACATATACCATTGGGGCTTGGTCTTAAACTTAATCCTTGGCAATGCTATCTCAAACCGTAAATCATTTTGGATATGATGATGTAGATAGAACAGAAAAGACAAGGGTTTGTTTTTTTTTCTTCATGTTGTTCTTCCACATCTCCATAATCTGATATGTGCCTTTAGCATCTTCAGCTGGGAGAAAGAGAAGCTATGCCTATTTCAGGGTTGCTTCTCTTTTGATGCAAACAATAAGCTAATGTGCTGATGACTATTTAATTTTAACAGTATGGTTCAGCACCAGTTTTACAAGGTGTGCCACTAGTACTCATGAACATGTTTATGCAAATTAACTAAAGCAGCATGGTAACTATGTCAGAATTCTAAAATTGAAATGGTGTTGGCTGTGGAGTCTGTTTCTTTTTAGTTATATAGCATAACCCAGGTAAACTTTGCTTGTTAGTTGTCTAAAAATGTGCAATACCCATATTTTTAATGTTTTTGGTTATTTGATCAGGAATGGACATATAAGGATACCAACTTTATTCAAGGCCTCAAGAATCCACTTCTTCCTGACCTCTGAAGCCTGTACTGTTCTGTGGAATTATTTTCTGCAGAGGTAGGGAGAAGATGACTTTGTAAGCTGAAGAACATTTGTATCTGAAAAACATTTATAAGATTATATATCTGTCTATCTTATAAACGTTCTTCAGATAACTTGTGTGCTAAGTTATGCAGATTCTTACTTTTTCCTGGCGTGAAGTCTCTGAAATAATGTATTTACAATAATAGATTTTGGCAACTGTTACTTTGCCATGATGATTTCCTAAATGTGTGCATGTTACACATTGGAATGGATCAATGGCCTGGAGTTAGGGACTGTATAGGCTTTTCTATTTGTACAGGACTCAGTAAAATAAATAGGTTTTCTGGTTAACCTTCCTCCTCCTTTTTGTAAATACAAGCTATTATTAAAATGTGATGCTTAAATGCCTAATTTACAAGGTAACTGAATTAGATTTCAAGGAGTACAGTTTTTAATTGCACTTTTCAACAGAAGTCCCTGGCAGAAATTTTTAAGAAGTCATGTAGTTCTGTATCTGGGCTCTTAGTTTAAAAAAAAAAAAAAAAGTTGAGTTTTTAAGTTTTCAGTAAATGTTTAACTCGAAAAGGTTTCTAGTTATTTTCCGATAAACATCAAGAACAAATTCCTTTGTAACTGTTGAAAATCAAATTTTAGGGTACCTTTTAAACTAAGATATTTAAATTAAATTAAATTTAAATGTATTAAAATAAGGACTTGTAGCCTAACTTATATTACTATTGTTTTTGTCAGTGCAGTTTGATTATTCAGGCAATTCAGTATGACTTTGCTAGGAAATCAACCCTGTTTATAAGTAACTTTCAGAGCTGTTTATTTCAGAACAACTGCACCAATTCACCCCTCCTTCTGGGCACAAATTATTTTTGCAGAACTGTCTCACAGAGACCCACAAATGGACATAACGTTAATGTATTTTTTCTACCACCAGTTTCCTGCATCTGTCCAAAGGTGTGGATATGGAGAAAGAGAGTATGGGATTGGTGGAGCAATGTTTCAGTGCATAGTTGGGTATATATGTTCCTTTGGTATAATATGCAAAATAAAGAAAAGAGCATTAGGTCTACTTATTTTGATCTAATAGATTGATGATGAAGTTTTAAAATTGAGTTTTGGCTCTGGTTTTACAGCAAGATGTAAAGTCCCTCCTTGTGGGGGAGTTGGGCGGTGATATAAATTTGATTAATAAATAAAATAAATAAAAATCTACAAAAGAAAATCAGAATGTATTGGGAGAAGATCTTTTCTGTTTATTTCCTGAAACTAGAGAAATCAACTATAGACCAAATACACATGTAAAATGACATTATGGTCTATAAGAGATCTGTAAAATACATTTAAATTTTTCCAACTTTTTTTTTTCCTATTGCTTCAACCTTCTTGTAAATTTTACACCTATAGTTTAGGCCTATAGTTATTGCAGGCAGAAATTCTGCTTTCTGTCTGCAATATTCTGTTTATTTTAATCTGTGGAGAAATGTTCATACCAGCAATATATACCATTTCAAATTCAAAACAATTGTTTAATGTTTGAAATTGACTATTTTAACCATTTTGAAGTGTTTCAAGCTTCAAAATATTTCTAAAATGATTAAAACAACCAGGTTTTAAGTGCAACATAACTGTTTCATACTCTAAAAGGGCCATTTTTCAGTTCAAAATGCTTTCCATGGCAATAGTGAAAATCTATTCCTTATTTCACTTAGTAGTTGAGATATATGCAAAGTAGCAATCAAGAAATTTGTTTCTGCTAATTTTATTAACATATAGGTCCAATCTTTCCTGAATAAAAATTACTTAAGCATTGCACACAGTATGTGAGAATAAGTGTTAGGTACCTCCCATGTACAGATAGTCCTCGCTATCCAACCACAATAGGGACCAGAATTTAGGTCACTAAGTGATTTGGTTGTCAAGTGAATCAGAGGTGATTTTACGACCTTTTTTATGATGGTTGTTAAGTGAATCCATCTTCCCCAATGGACATTTTTGCTGGAATTTGCTTAATGACTACGTGATTTGCTTAATGACATGATGATTCACTTAACAACCATAGTAAAAAAGGTCACAAATCAAGATCACATGACTGTGGAGGTCGTAAAGCACTTTTCCAAAGGCCGTCATGACTCTGGACCATCATTAAACAAATGGTTGTTAAGTGAGGACTACCTGTAATAGAATTCACAAATTGTAAATCATGAAGAAAAACAACTTTGAAAGAGAAAGCCTTATTTTCTATCACATGAATGCATTCTGTTTTTAGCTGTTAAAGTCATATTCCACATGCTGTTTCTCAATTATCTTGGTAATGACTGAAGTGTTGATCTAACTTCATCTTCTAGTACTAGAGGTTCTTGTAAGAAAGAAATATCTTCTAAGATACCTTGGATGCTGACATCTCTATTGTATAGTGCTTCAGTATGCTCCTTCCATCTTTGATCTACTTTGAATTGGTTACTATCTGTCCATTGGCATCCTTTAGCATACCAATTCAAGGTTGGAACCTCCTGAGTTCAGAGATCTTTTGAAAGACTTCCCTTGTTTTTCTGTGTCTATTTTCATCTTCAGTATCTTTACAGATGTTGTTGTAATACTGCTTCTCATCTCTTCTAACAGCTCTCTAAAACTTTTTGTTAAGTTCCTTTCTGAGATTTTTGCCTGACTTGGCTTTGGCTTCTCTTCTCTTCTTGGCAATTTCCACAATTTGCTTTGGCATCCAGTTTGCTTTCTTCTCTTTCTTCATCTTGGCAGTCTCTTTTCATATTCACCTTCAATGACTTCTTTAAGTTCATTCCATAATTCCTCTGGTTCTTTATCAATGAAGTTCAGGACCTCAAAGCGATTCCTGATGTTCTCCTTGAAAATTGTGGGTTAATGTTGAAGATCATATCTTGGAAACTGACTGGCTTTCTTCTTTTTCTTTAGCTTAACTTGGAGCTTGCACATAAGCAGTTTGTGATCTGTTCCATAGTCAGCACCTGGCCATGTCTTTGATGGTATAATCAAGCTCCTCTACCTTCTTTTAGCAATAATACAGTATAGTCAATTTGATTTCTATATATTCCATCTGGTGATGTCCATGTATAGAGGCATTGTTTTGGTTGTTTGAAAACAGTGTTAGCTATGAGGAAATCATTGAAGTGACAGAAGTTTATAAGTTGGTCTCTGCTTCATTTCAGTTTCCTAAGCCTTACAATCCAACTACATTTTCATCTTTCATGTTTCCAACTTTGACATTCCAGTCTCTAGTCACAAGCAGCACATCTTGCTTGCATGTTCTGTCGATTTCAAATTGGACTTGATCATAAAACTCATCAACCTCCTCTTCTTCTGCATCAGTGGTTGGAGCATAAACTTGAACGATTGTCATATTAAAGGGTTGTCCATGAAATCTAATCAATATTATTCAGTCATTGATTATATTGTAGTCAAGTATTGTTGTTGCTATACCCTTACTAACTATAAAAGCAACACCATTTCTTCTTTGTTTTTCATGTCCTGAGATAGTATGATCTTCTGAATGAAAGTGTCCCATCCCAGTCCATGTCAATTCACTGATGCCTAAGATGTCAGTTTGTAGTTGTTTCATTTAATCTTTCACTGTGTTGAGCTTTCCTGTGTTCATACATTCTATGCTCCTATTGTAATTCTATCTTTGCAGCTTCAGATTTTCTTTTCCTGTATGGCAACATCAGCAACTAGATGTCCCAAAGACTTTAATCTAGCCATGTCATAAACACCGTTAGTACTCAACTCTTCCTCAGTAGCATGTTGATTGCCATTTGGCGCTATATCATCAATCATTTTATATTTTCTATCTGTGTGGTTTTCTCGGTAAAAATACATGAGTGGTTTACTATTGCCTTCTCCCACACTGTAATTAATGAATGAATGCCTTTGCCATTGTCACTAAAGTGATCATCTGTCTCTGACATCTCCCTATTTTGCTGCTGCCCAGTATAGGTGCCTGCTTGCTTTAGCTGGTTAGCTGGCATGACCTTCATGCCTTGGGTGAATGCAGGTGTGATAATTCATTGTCAATTTACTCATCTGTAGTATAAAATTATTTTGATATTGAAAGCACATAAATGAAATTACCTCCAGTTTATCCAGTAACCAACATTATCTGGACAATTGTAAAGTTAAACATAACTGGGACCTACCAAGTTGTTATCAGAATCTGATTTACAAAACATAAGACAGAGTCAAATCATTGCAAATTTTTAAGTTTAAATCAACTTTTTAAAAATACCTTTATGGGTAGCAGTCTTCTTTTTTAAAAAAAACAGTTAAGAGTTTCTCATTTTTTCTAGTCTAGCTACAACTGATTGTGTGACTAAATTTTTGGTAAAGCCTGAATTAAAGCTATTTACTTCTTTTTGTGAGTTATTCACATTTTTGAGGTAAAAGGTAAAGCTCATCTCCTAATGACTACATTGATCATGTTGTTTTCTTGGTAACAGTACAAAAATGGTTAGTTGTTGCTTTATGCAACAATGTTATTTTAACTTCTCAGTCTAGCTTTTAGTCCTGCAATTTTCTGACATTCTGCTATTCAGTTCTATCCTGGTCACCTTATTAACCAAGGTAAGCTAGGTACTGCCACCTGACCAAGTTATTGTTTTTTGAGACTTTTGTCAAACATAAAGCACTCTGCAAAACTAATTATGTAATTTTGTTCTGTAGAATGGATCAAATTTTTCAGGTGAGAGTGACTTGTTATGCAGAAAACATAATAATAATAATTTATCAAATAATAATTGTCCCTGCAATTTTCTTTACTTTGGAAAAACCATCTTCAGTGTCTGATTGTTTATTTGTTTTACATAGTATTTTCTAGTGTTTCTTAAATTTTTATACTTCCCATAATACCAAACAATATTTTTTTATAATAAGGAAATACCGTATTTTCCGTGAATAAAACGTCCCCCACTTTTCCAACCCAAAATTAAGAAATCAATATTTTAAAGATAAAGCAGAACA